CGACAATATCATTCGAAGCTTATAATTATACACAGCACACAGAGTTTAGAAAAGATAAAAGTCTAAATTGGGGCTGATGATGTCGCGTACCATGTTCTGCTTTCGCCGATGACTTTTAAATCTATAGCCTTATATTGGAGTTAGGACACTCTTAGCCAAATGCATTGAACGTTTTGTACAATTTGTCCAAGGAATGAGGTTTACTTATTTCGAGCGAAAAAATGGATGTATTACATATAGGAAATATAATAATATAATGGCGCTAAGAGGGTGTGGTACAATTTATCTAGAGCTCTCTCCAAAAAAAAATCCTACTATCCTCTAAGAGCCTGTAACATTAGGCAACTAGTCGAAAATGGGACTGTCATATTCAATCCTTCAAAGCGAATAACCATTTAATTACTAGAGAAAAGCACAAAAAACCATACGATGGAATTTCAATAAGGGTTCATGTATGACCAGTTCGCAAGTGAAAAGGAGAAACCAGGATCTAGAAGGCAAAAATTTGCGCAAGTTGTCAACTCAACCCATCTAACTTCGTTGGAACCAGAACTTCAACTAGAGGTAAAGGCATGAAGCTTGTGTTGCCAAGGTCAAGAAAAAACGTTAGAGTTTTCTTCATCAGCAGAGTTTGTTATAATCTAGACAAAGTTTTAGGAAACAAGCTTATCCTGCTAAACTCGCACTTTCCGAAAGTATCTTAAAGAACAACGTGCTATCTTCAGTTCTGTTTATTATTATTGTTTTTTTCTTTGCACAAACCATAGGCTGTGTTTGTCTACGCAATCTTGTAACCACATAGGTCTTTCGCACGTGAGTTAAAGAAGAATGTAGAAAATGTTAAATAAAAATAAAAATTTTTAAAAAATAAGTAAAATTGGAGGTTTGTTTGGACACTGTATTGAAGGTCGCGCAGCAGTAATTCGACCGCATCCCCTCAATCACATCTCCTGCACATAAAAAAAGTAGATCAGTTATACTTAATCTTGTGCTATCAGCATGTATCAACTCACATCAAGCTGCTTAGCAATAGTAAACATTGTTTAGGAATAAAAAGATTTTGTTCATCAAGTAACGTTCTCTAAGTTGAGCGCATCTTCATTTTTCCTCAATGACAATGTGTTGAAAGTCCAACGCATTATCAGCGGCGGAATTTTCCGGAAAGAGAAAGCAAACTAGAAGATTACTATGTTCTCGTCGCTGTAAAGTTTGAGCTCAATCCATCCTCTTATAAGCCACCCACAGATATTTGTTTTGCTAATCGCACTCGCCATCTTGCCATTCCAGAACTGGTGACCGCCCTTTGGGTGCAAAATACGCTATACACTGTAGTTTCTTTCACGTCTTACTTCTCAATTTCATTCCCAACATCTACGTTTTTTGAATATATAAAATACATTCCTACTTTCTGGTAGCTCTTCCCGAGGA